CCACCTCTGTGTACACTGGGATGACAGCACTTCTCTCCTGAATGGGTCATAGAATCATAGAATGGTTTGGTTTGGAAGAGACCTTAAATATCATCTAGTTATAACCCTCACGCCATGTGCAGGGACACCTTCCACCAGACCAGGCTGTTCAAAGTCCCACCCAAACTGGCCTTGAACATTTCCAGGGATGGGACATCCACAGCTTCTCTGGCCAACCTGTTCCAATGCCTCACCAGCTTTATAGTAAAGAATTTCCTCCTTACACCGAATCTAAACCTACTCTATGTCAGCTTTAAGTCATTAGTCCTTGTCCTATCCTTACACCCCCTGACAAAGAGTTCCTCTCCAGCTTTCTTGAAGCCCCTTGTAGGCACTGGAAGGCTGCTGTAAGGTCTCCCCAGAGCCTCCCCTTCTCCAAGCAGAACAACCCAAATGCCCTCAGCCTTTATTGGAGATGTGCTCCAGCACCTTCATCATCTTGGTGGCCCTCCTCTGGACTTGTTCTAACAGGTCCACCATCCTTCTTATGCTGGGGGCCCCAAAGCTGAAAGCAGGACCCCATGAGAGCAGAGCAGAGGGGGACAATCCCCTCCATCACCCTGCTGGCCATGCTGCTTTTGGTGCAGCCCAGGGTACGGTTGGCTTTCTGGGCTGCAAGCGCCCATTGCTGGCTCGTGTTCAGTTTTTCATCCACCAGTACCCCCAGGGCCTTCTCTTCAAGGATGTTCTCTTTCTACTCATGTGTATTTGTGCTGTATTTGTGCTTGGGATTGCCCCGACCCAGGTGCAGGCCCTTGCGCTTGGCCTTGTTGAACCTCATGAGGGTTTCCCAGGCCCACCTCTCAGTCCTGTCCAGGTCTCTCTGGATGGCATCCCTTCCCTCCAGTGTGTTGACCACACCATGCAGCTCGGTCTCCTCAGCAAACTTGCCGAGGGTGCACTCAATCCCACTGTCCATGTCGCTGACAAAGATGCCAAACAGGGCCGGTCCCAGTACTGACAGCTGAGGAACATGAGGAACACAATTCATCACTGGTCTCCACCTGGACATCAAGCTGTTGACTGCAACTCTTTGAGTGCGACCACCCAGCCAGTTCCTTACCCACTGAATGGTCCTGCCATCAAATCCATATTTCTCAGCTTTAGAGACAATGATACTATGGGGGACAGTGTCAAGTGCCTTGCACAAGTCCAGGTAGGTGATGTCAGCTGCTGTTTTGCTATCCACCGATGCTGCAACCGCGTCATAGAATGCCACCAGATATGTGAGGCACGATCTGCCCTTAGTGAAGCCACGTTGGCCATCACCAGCCACCTCCTTACTTTCCATGTGCCTTAGCAGAGTTTCCAGAAGGGTCTGCTCCATGATCTTGCCTGGCACAGAGGTGAGATGGGAGCATCTGAGGCTGCAGGGATATTCCCACCGCCTGTCTGAACAAGAGAAAAGGTGGGGATGGCAGGACTGGTCACTCTGGAGACAGTGGTAGCGATGCAGGACTTACTCCCCAGCTGCAGAGCAAAAAACTGTAATTAAATCAGGGATAAGCTGGCAGGGAAGAACCAGCTGAAGGTTACATCGAGAGCAAGCAACTAAACCTGGCTGAAGCAAACTAAGCAAAGCATGGTTATAGCATCCATTCATCTGTTTTAGCTACATAACCTGTGTTACTCCAAGTTAATTTTGAGAAGTTGAGTTGGTGCTGAGCTGTCTGATGCTGAAGGCCCTCTGCAGACCCATTTTCAAAAGTTTCAGCTCTGCCCAGGAGGTAATGAGTGACCCAGCTGGCAGTGTTGACCCTGTAATGTTTGCACAGAATTATGATTGAGTATGGCTACAAGCAGCAGAGGTAGGTCAAGGTGAACTCATGCTTCCAAAACAACATGAGAATTGTCGTGAGTGAGTTAATCCTGTCCCAGTGGAGCAGCTGGAGCTTTGTGCTTTCCCTGCTGTGGGAAGAGAGACAATACATTTATGGTGCATTAAGGTATTATTGTAGCAGTGTTAACACTGAAAGGTTTCTGATCCTCAGAAATAAAGAATTGCAAATTTGTCCCAGATTTGTCAATGGAGGCAGGTTCCCATTCAGAATGAGGGAGGGCAGAACTCTCCAACATACACAGGTGTTGAGGCTGGAGGACACACAGCGCTGAGTGGGGCTAGCAGGGGATAAGGCAAGGGTGGGGTGGAACAAGGCCAAGCCCAAAAGGCTCCTTGAGATGGAGTTTGGCAAGGTTTCAAGGCAGGGAACCCATGCCTGGGACCAGCTGGGGGTTGGGATGAAGGGTCTGGAGGCTTTCTGTGCTCAGGGAGGAGTCTGAAGGAGTATCCCCATTGGGTTGGTCTGGCAGTGGGAAAGGTGAAGCTGTGTCCTCACTGCTTGGAAATCCACCCCAAGAAGGCCACAGGATGAAGAGTGATGCTTTCTCTTCTGCTTTGTAGTAACTGCAGCTGATGTTATAGGTCAGCCTGTAGATCATTGCACGGGGGACTCTCCTAAATGGCCTTTAGGAATAAAATTAAATTTGTTGAGACCAGATGCAACGGAAGAATTGGATGAAAAAGCAGAGAGGATCTCACAGGGGAAGGATGTGGACATCTTGCATTAAACAGAAAAGCCACAGCCTGGAGGAGTGTTTAATGCTGCACTTTGCAGGAAAGCAACAGGGAGACTGCAGAGATGTCCCTTCCCCTAGGCTTTTATCAGCACTGGTTGTCCTGGACCCAAACTGACCCCATGCCTCTGCAACCATGCTCAAGTGGTTGGGACACAATCCGGGCTGCTTGACTAACTGTAGGCTTGGTGATGTGCCTGTGTGCAACCCCCCTTCTCTCCCCCTGCGGGGATGCCTGCAGGGCTGGAGGTGCTGTCACTCTAGCTGTAGTGAGCTGCTGGCCTGGCAGAGCTTAATTAGATTTGATAGGATTGGGTGGAAGCAGCAAGGAAGAAAGAGGGCCAGGTGGCCACACAGTGCTTTGGGCCATTGGGCTAGATCCCCCCCCAAAACTCTTTGAGCCAGGTGATGCTGGACCAGAGCTTCCCAGAGCTGAGGGATTAATGTCTGCTGCTGCACTACAGCTGATGGGGGAACCAGTCCTCTGCCTGCTTCTAAGGGAAGGGCTTTTCCCAGCAGCATCCTGAAGGTACATGGCTCTCTTGATAGGGCTGGCACTGATTTCCAAAGAATTTCCCCCAACTAAGATCCATGTAAACTGCTGCAATTACAGATGTTATGCCTTGTTGCCTTAAGCCTTTTGTCATCAATAAATGTTTATGGTATAAAGCAGCCCTGTTTGTTTGTCTTCGACCAGATGACAGTGATTTATTGGCAGAAATCCTAGCAAAGAGATGAGCCAGAAAACTCTGTAAGTGCTACACACATGTATGCAGGGAGCAGATGATGGCTGTTGCACAATCATGAAAACTGCAGACAGCAGTGCCTAGGTTTTGGATAGGAACAGTTGTTTCCAGGATTTTTTTTGATCCTCTAAACAGTAATGGCACTTCAGGGGTTAAAGATGCCCTGGAGCTCAGTTTCCTGCTTTGTCCCATGTGATGCTGTGTAGAATGGGAGGGATGCTTTGCTGCAAACATGTTGCTGATTAGCATTGTCAATTGCCATAGGAATGGTGGGGGAGCAAGGCCAGAAGCCTGTTGCCCTCGCTCCCTTGTCCTGGGCAACGCTCAGCAGTAAACAGCACAGGACTCAAAAAAAGGGGCTTAGAGCTGAGGAGGTGGTGACAAGGAATGTGTGTCCAAGGCCAGGGCAGGGTGACATGGGCTGCAGATGAGTGTCCCTTCATGTGGCTGTCTTCCAACAGCCGTGCTGAGCTGCTGCCCTGCTGCCAATGTGAAAAACGTAGCGCCAGGGCAGCGCTACTGCTGGTGGTTGGTGGTTGGCCACGCACCACATCCAGGAGCATCCTTTGGGCCAGACACCTCGCTGAGGCTGACAATGGGGTACCTCCATGACATCTTCTGCCTGGGGGCTTGTAACCCCCTCTCAGACCTGTCAGCAGAAAGGGGAAGGCAGGCTGGGCTTGCTCAGATCTGTTTCCATGTGTAGTACAGACTCGGCTCCTACAGAAATATTTATTGCTGTTTTCCCCCATGGGTTTGTATATTTTGTACAGCTTGTTTCTAATTTAAAGTATAAATAAGTTTGATCTTTTCATCTGTTTCTCTCCCTACCTTCTGGAGGCTGTGCTTGTTAAAAATAACCATGGTGAGGAGCTGAAGCAGGGCTGCTGGCAGGGTTTTTGCCTCCTCCATGGCGGGGCTCCTGTGGGAGTGGCAGTGTGGTGGCCGTTCATGCACAGCCCCGGGCCCGCAGTCACAGCAATGGCCTGAATTCCTGCAGCCTCACCTGGCCCGTGGCTGGGATGCAAGCACTTCTAGGGAGCCACCAAGGGGGCTTGGGAAAATGGGGAACCAGGGTGGAAGAGCAGGGTGCAAGGACTGTGCGGGGGTGTCCCTGTGTGCATGTGTCGTGGGGATGCTGCAGTTGCCAGCACAACGTATCTGTGGAGGGGGCTTTCTTAAAAAAAAAAAATCCCATTTGACCAAAGCTGAATTATTTGCAAAAGAGATCAGCTGAAGCAAGAAAAAAAATGAAAGCCTTAAGCTCTCTTGCAGGAAAGTCTGAAATGCAGACCGGGGATCAGAGTGAAACTGCCTTTGTTGAGGTGGCTCAGCTTCACTTTGCCGTTGATTTTGTTGTGGGGATGCACATGCACACATGCAAGTATGTGCATGCACACATATGCATGTGCACACATGCTCACACATGCACGTACACATACCTGTGTGCACACATGCACACGTGCATGTACAAACGTGAACATGCACACACACAAGCACACCCACACACATACATGCACACGCACAGGCAAACATGTGCACACGTACTTTTGCACACACACACCCTTGCACACGCGTACACACACGCACTCGCACTCCCCCTTTCCCTCCCCCCCCCCCCCCCATGCTCTCTGCCCTATGCGCCTCCAGCCAGCGCCAGCTCCGCGCCCGCTCCCAGCCCCGCGACGCCCCCCGGCGCCCCCCGGCCAAGGCGCCGCTTCCCTCCAGGCCATGCCCGAGCCGTGCCCGAGGGGCTCCCCGGGCCGAGGGGGCAGTGAGGCGGGGGGGTGTCTGCGGGGCAGGGCCGGGGGGTGCTCTGGCGGCTGAGCGAGGCGGTGCCAGGGCTGGGGGCGGATTTTTTGAGAGCAGCCTCGGCTGCTCAGAGCCGCGGCGGCCGCCGGAGGAGCGGGACGGCTGCTTCTGCCTCTGCCTGGAGGAGGAGGAGGAGGAGGAAGAAGAGGCTCCGACCGCCGCCTCTCCCTCCCGCCCCCCCCTTTCCCCTTCCGCCCCATACCTTTATGGACGAGCGCCGGAGCTTGCTCCACTCTCCGGCTGCCTCTTCCGCCGGCCGGCCGCCGAGCAGCAGCCACCACAACCTGGGCTACACCGAGCAGCCGCCCCCCGCCGGCCCCCGGCCCCACGAGGAGGAAGAGGGCGAGGAGGCGGAGGAAGGCAGCATGACCGTGGTGGGGGGGGGCGGCGGCGGAGACCCCCTGCTGGAGGAGCCGCAACATCCGCACCCTTTGCTGGTGGGGGACCGCTACGACCACCCTCTGCCTCCGGCCACCGGCCCCACCGGGCACCCCGCGGGCAGTGGGGAGCACGAGTGCTGCGAGCGGGTGGTGATCAACATCTCCGGGCTGCGCTTTGAGACCCAGCTCAAGACACTGGCGCAGTTCCCTGAAACGCTGCTGGGAGACCCCCGTAAGAGGATGCGCTACTTCGACCCCCTCCGCAACGAGTATTTTTTTGACCGCAACCGGCCCAGCTTCGACGCCATCCTCTATTACTACCAGTCAGGTGGGCGCATCCGACGGCCCGTCAACGTCCCCATCGATATCTTCTCTGAGGAGATTCGCTTCTACCAGCTAGGGGAGGAGGCCATGGAGAAGTTCCGGGAGGATGAAGGTTTCATTCGGGAGGAGCAGCGGCCACTCCCAGACAAGGAGTTTCAGCGTCAGGTGTGGCTGCTCTTTGAATATCCCGAGAGCTCTGGGCCAGCCCGAGGCATTGCCATCGTCTCTGTCCTGGTCATCCTTATCTCCATCGTCATCTTCTGTTTGGAGACCCTGCCTGAATTCAGGGATGACCACGACTATGAGGGAACTGGGGGGACCTTTGGGACAGGCGGTGGCCCTCTCCCACCTGATGTTTTCACCAACTCCTCGTCCTCGGCCACTTCCATGGTGTCATCCTTCACTGACCCTTTCTTTGTGGTGGAGACTTTGTGCATCATCTGGTTCTCCTTTGAGCTGCTGGTCCGCTTCTTTGCCTGCCCCAGCAAGGCCACCTTCTCCAAGAACATCATGAACATCATTGACATTGTGGCCATTATCCCCTACTTCATCACACTGGGCACTGAGCTGGCAGAGAGGCAAGGCAATGGCCAGCAAGCCATGTCCCTGGCCATCCTCCGAGTCATCCGTCTGGTCAGGGTCTTCCGCATCTTCAAGCTCTCCCGACACTCCAAGGGGCTGCAGATCCTGGGGCAGACCCTCAAAGCCAGCATGAGGGAGCTGGGCTTGCTCATTTTCTTCCTCTTCATCGGCGTCATCCTCTTCTCCAGTGCTGTCTACTTCGCAGAAGCTGATGACCCCAGTTCAGGTTTCAGTAGCATCCCTGATGCCTTCTGGTGGGCGGTGGTGACCATGACCACAGTGGGCTATGGGGACATGCACCCCATCACTATTGGGGGCAAGATTGTGGGGTCTCTGTGTGCCATCGCGGGGGTGCTAACCATTGCTCTGCCCGTGCCCGTGATAGTCTCCAATTTCAACTATTTCTACCACCGGGAGACAGAAGGCGAGGAGCAAGCCCAGTACATGCATGTTGGGAGCTGCCAGCACCTCTCGTCTACCGAGGAGATGAGGAAGGCGCGGAGCAATTCCACCCTCAGCAAGTCCGAGTACATGGTGATAGAGGAGGGGGGAATCAACCACAGTGCATTCAAACAGGCTGCCTTTAAGACAGGGAACTGCACAACCACAAACAATCCCAACTGTGTGAATATCAAAAAGATCTTTACGGATGTTTAAAAACAAAACAGCAGCAAAACCCGAGGATGTGGTAAAAAATAATAAATGCAAAGTGACTGTGTACTTGGTGTTGTGTGGAACATGCACCATCGTCAGTCTGTGTATGCCCTTGTTTTTATACGTTTATTTTTTTAGATCTTTCCTTTCTAAAGATCTTAAAGGGATTTAAATTGCTCTGAAGAGAAGAGGACAGCTAACAGTTAAAGAGGTGGAAGAAGAAGACAAAACACTCTCACCGCTGAAGCAGGTGTTTGTTCTGCAACGTGTTGCAGGGCTGCTTTTGTTTTCTTGCTTTTGGGGACATCTTGCTTTGCTCCTGATTTCTCCCCCCCCCTTCCCTACAGGCAGCATGGAGCCGATTTCCCTTCCATCACATAAGCTCACTTGTTGGATTAGCAGCCCTGGATTGGGTGGGGAGACGAGGAAAACATGTTGCAGAGCACACTATAAGGGGGCTGGGAGGAAAAAACCATTTAATTTTGCAGAGAGTCTCTGTTACCACATTGTTAAATGGTGCTTAATATTGAAACATGTGGTGTGCCGTTACGGGCACATCACAGATTGCCTTTTCTCTCCCACTAGATCATTTATGAAATTCTAATCTGGTCAGAGACCAAGTGCAATCAGTTCTGACTTAAAGACAAAACAAAACAAAAAAAACAAAACACTAATTTTCTATTCTTAATTCCCTTCCCCTGCAGCACTATGGCATTATTCCATCCAGCATAAAATCTGTGGCCGCACAGCGGGTCTGTGTGCTCTGGGGGAAGGCAAAAGGCAAAATTGAATGGTTATGGTATGCAGGGAGTGATGCCGGCAAGGACCAGGAGATGCCAGCTCTGCGATGGGCTCCTTGCTGTGGCCATGCAGCCTCAGACCCACCAAGCTGGACAAAAAGGGATATTTCCACCTTTTTGCAATGCATTTAGGAGAGATACAGCTGCTTATCGCAAGAAGATTAGAGTGGTGAACACGCCTTCCAACGGAAGTCACTAATTTGGACTGGAGTGATACAGTTGCCATGGCTACCCTAGTTTCCTGGGAAACCCCAAAAGGTTGTCATGGCATCCTTTCTCCCATCCCCCTTGGTCCTTGTCGTTCCTGCAAAAACCTTTCCAGATGGTTCCAGCCCTGCAATTCTGCAGGACACTGTGTCTCTGCAACTCGCAGGGCACCCATTCCTGCATCCCCATCCTGTCGCTGCACCCCCTTCTGCACTGTGTCCCCATGAACCAAACACCCACCTGTAGGCAATAAGCACACCCCAAAATTCCCCTCTTCCTCCCAGAAGAGTTCACACCTTGGCAGTGAAATCTGGGAGCCAAGCCTCGTCCTGCAGACATGAGCCGCCGCTTGGACATAGCAGCAGTGGCGCTACACCACCAAGAACCGTGCTTGCCCCATGCCACATGAAACCCTGAAGCTCCCCCAAAGCATCCTCCAAGGGCAAGAATGGCCCCGAGCAGCCACCAGGAAAACTCAGCTGGGAAAGTGTGGCAGACTTTGGAAACAAGGGGGACAAATGCAGACCTGTTAAGAGCAGGATTGAAAAGTAACCTAAACCCCTCCAGGGAAAGCGTGCCTCCTTCATCATTCCGTGTACACCAGGGGCCAAAGGACATCTGATGGGATCAGGTGAGCTTTGCACGGGGTAGAGATTTTTTGCATTGTAAGATAACATTGCTTTTGGGAACAAACCTCATGTTTTCCACTCCTTGGTTTTGTTTTCCAGCTCCCCCCGTTGCCTTCATGTATTTTTGTGCATGTCAGGTAAATAGAATACCATCCTATGGCTCCTCTGATTATATTTGCTTTCCACTTTGCTTTTTAGTGCTGCACAGTGAGTTCTAGGTAGGCAGGCACTGAAGGAAAGCTGTGCTGCGTTTGTAAAGTGGGATTTCTTCAATTCTGTATAAAAAGGAGTTATTTGCCGAATTTTGGTGTTTCAGGCTGGTCCCTGTGGTGGAAGCAAGCTTATGGGGCTGGCAGGTCATAGGGCCTGGAGTGGCTTTAAGCACCTGGTCCCCAGCTGTGCTCAATTTCACTGGCTTTTGGGATGAGAGCAAAGAGACTCCTTGCAGGTGGTGAAGTGCACGGGAATGCCAGGAAATGCCTCCTTCAATAAAGAACAATTTGACCCCAACCTGTGCAAATTGTGCACTTTCCTAAGGTACGGAAAGGGGGATTTGTTCTGAGAGAGACTGGCCACATCAAAATTGGAGTTTAGCTGGGACTTTATGTTAAAAGGGTCAGGACAGTTTGTAACATATACATGTAACACTCTTCCTTAGCCCCAGTGTCCTCACCAGTTAATAAAACGTTAATAACCAAGGAAAACATCAAAGCAGCTTCTTAGCTAATGGTATGTGACAGCTTTATTGGAACTGTGGTAGTTTTCTCTAGCTGAGGATCTGCTCAAACCATCTTTATTAGGGGGATGCTCCACAGCATTGCAGGAGGTGACAGTCCTGGCATCCTTCATCCTGACAGCTTCCCAGGGAGCACTGATGAACACGGGGCTTTCTGGAGTACCCCCAAGCACCTTTTCCCCAGACTGCTGGCAGGCTGAGATGTCGCTTCTTGCTATAAACTCTCACTTATTGTTATTAAAGCCTTTCCACATGCCTGTTCCTAAAAGGAGGATTTGAGTTTAAAAGCAGTGGAAGCACTCCCCCTTGGGAGAGCTCACCGATGAGTTTTGCTTCTGCATTTTCGCTGTGGCAGCTGCACAGAAACCACATGTTTGCCTGGAACTGGCAGCATACAATTTTCAGTTTCAATGCAATCTAAAATAAGCAGAAACTTTGCTGGTTGTTCGCTTGCTTTCCTGTCTAATCCCCGCCTTATTTTGTGGAGGCAGAATGGCTGAAAACGGATTGTATTGTCAGTTAGAGATACAGTATCAGGGAGATGGTAAGGAAGCCACTTCATCCACTGTAGTTGTTAAAGCACAGAATGGCATTGCTGAAAAACATCAAAGCACTGCTGCTCCATCTTTAAGATATACACAGAAATTGGAGATGTAGTAGCAAGCAGAAAAACAGGGATATCCCTGCTATACTCTGCCCCATTTCTGTCTGCTTCGTCCCTCTGTGCTGTCAGTGTCTCGCTGGGTAACGTACGGTGAGAGAAACACTTTGTGCTGTTGCACGGTCTGACGCTCCTCTGAAAGTGGCTGCTGAGCATGTCATGGCAGGAATTGGAAGGAGTGCTGCGAGACTGCTCCCTTCATAGCCAGCTGGTTATTGGGCTTCCTGTGCTGTCTTGCAATGTGCCTCCTCTTCAGTTTTAGGACTGTTTTAACCACTACCTGGGAATCAACATTAAACCCCAGTCTTTGCAAGCTGCGAAGAAACTAATTTATCTGGACACCGAGCATGCCCAAGGCAAGACACAGGGCTTGGATGGAACAGCTTGCTGCCTTGAGTGGAGAAAAGTCATTGTCCAGGGCTCCTGGCTGGCTTTTAGGGTCCCTGCCTCCCCAGATGCTTTTTGGTCCTGGATGCCACCCCGGAACAGGGTCAGCATTGCCTTTGTTTCAGGGGAACACAGGGAACATGCAGCAACCCCTTGCCTGGCCCTTCTGCTTGGTGCTTTGGTGTTCTCACTTTTTTCTCCTGCTTATTTACACCTTTTTTGTGTGTTTTCAGGCCTACATTCTAAAAGGGTTCTGTTGCTCTCCAGCCCAATAGATGCTCTCCAGGTACTAGTGGAGACAAGACAGGATCTGTCCCGCCCAGGTGTGGACACATAGGAGGTCTGGGGGATATCTCTGCTCCAGGAGGGCCTGATTTCTTTCCAGGCAATTGTTGCTGCTCCATTACTTGACAAAAGGGACAAAAGAAACTGTTTTTTCTTTGTCATCACCAGTTTATGGACTGTTTAGCAGAGAGGAAGAGCAGACCAGCAGCTTCCCCAGCAGAAGGAAAGGAGTCATCAGGAGCTCATCTGCTGCCAAGGGGTCACTCCTGGCAGAGCAGGGCAAGGTCTCTTGTGGCAGTTTGTGCTTGTGGATAGCATTCTGCATGAAATCTGTTTAATTGTGTAGTTTGGAGCCCTCTTTCTGCCAAGCTTTTAAAATATGCATATCTGTGTAAGAGTGCATGGAGGCTCCCATCCCAGCCTGATGCAAGGCACTGCCTTCTTCCCTATTTCAATGCTTTAACAAGTGATCTCTGGGCAGGCTGCAAACCTGAAAGTGAAAACAGGCATATAGGATTTAACCACAAAGCATTCTACCCTTCAATCTCATGCACTGTGTGTACTGGTAAGGAATGTTCAGTCTGTGGTACACACCTGCATCCTTGTGCCAAGGCAATCAAGTGGGCGCAGGCAAATAGGGTTTTTCTGCACATAATAGGATGCCATGGGTAGGGCAATGTCCTATAAATTCTTTCACTGCCATGGAGCTGGTACTGTTCTGCACCCTTCTCTGTTGCGGGTTCACACCCATAGCCTGAACAGGTTGCTTGGCTCTCTGGGGCATGTCTTTGGGTGGTGCTATGTAGCTGAGGCATGTGCTCAGGACAGGCTGTTGCTGTGCTGCACTTAGCAGCACCCCTAGCGCTGTTTGCATAGCAGGGGCTGCACTGACACAGCTGCAGGCTGCCAGCCCCGTGGGTGCAGGGTGGCCTGAGCCCTCACCAGCATGAGGAACCAGACGTTGGGTGGCGAGGTCTGGAGTGATGCGTGTCTGCAATAGGACATTTGCCTGGAGAACCACACGGTTGGGGCCGCAGCCGTTACCCAGCTGATGGGCACATCTGGGTGCGGATGTTCCCTGGTGCAGGGAACTGCTCCTTCATTGGGGGTGGGAGGGGAGCGTTGGAATATTTTGTAGGAGTGGTGATTTAGGGCTTTCTTAGGGCACAAATAGGACTGGTGTGGAGCTCTGATGAACAACAGAGCCATTGCACAGTGTGGGGCACATCTGCTCCTGGGAGAGCACTGCAGAGCAGCCCCAACAACAGCCCCACTGCAGCCAGCTCCTACACTGTACACTCGTGATTCTGCTGTGACCAAGCCCTGGACACAATCGAGACCTTTTACTTCTGCATTTGGCTTCCTGAGCAGGAAAATGAGTAATGGTGCCTCCGTCAATGAGATATTCATCCCACCTAACAGGACGCGTGTTTGCTGCTCTGTGCTTGGAAGGCGTCAGGGCTGCTGTCTGTGCTCCTGCTGTTTGTCACTGGGAGAAAGCAAATCATATTTTTTGCTCATGAGAACCATCCGCCATATGGAAAAAGGGTGGGTGCGGGGTCCCATGCTGCTCTTTCAGATGGAGCCATGTTATCCCTGCTGCTGGCAAAACTCATCCAAAAATGCTCTGAGAAAATCCCCTGTGAGCCCCCTGCTTACTTTTCCCTCCACGAACAAGGCACTGCTTTTGCACCTCACAAGTTTCACAAATCTGTCCATGTCTTATTACTCACAAAGCCTGACTATTCAGTGTTGAGGGTGCTCTGTAGCAGGACAGGGAAACCTTCATGCATGAACGTCCCTGCAGGGCACCATCAGTTTTCTCCTTATGAAGCAGGACATGCTCCAGTAAATTAAAACCTGTCTCCTATCTCATTCAGCTTGTCACTGTGGTTGGGAGCAGCTAAAATACTTCCTGATAGCTGCTCTTCACCTGCTCATAACAGCAATAATCTTTGCCCAGACATGCTGGCAAATGGAAAGACCCCTGGATAAGCGATGCAAACGGCAGCATGTGTTGCTGGGTTTGTTCAGTACTGATTCATTTCCTTGCGACTTGTAATTCAGATGCTTTTCAGAGTATAGCTATGTTTTGTCATGTCTGTTGCTCTTCTGCATTTTTTGCATTTCATTTTTAGCATCTTTACACATACTGTGTGGGAAGACTTGATTCGGATGTGCGGCTCACACAACTACATCAGCCACTGGCTATCTCTGCTCTGGCTGTCAAGGAAGCAGAGTGCATTTGGCTTTATTTTGATGCTGACCAGCACCAGCTGCTCTGCTTGATTCTTCCATAGCGGATAGATATGGAAAATCCTTTTGCATTGTGTCATGGTTTGATCAGCTGCAGCAGCACTGAGGGCTCAGTTCCAGGGGGAGAGCAGGGCTCCTGTAGCAGCACCTTTGTTCAGGATCTTGCTCTCATGAGCACCCAAAGGCTGTAATGGAGCACAGAAAGGATGAACGCAGACTTCACAAAGCGTTTTTGCATTTCAGAAAAAATGTATTTGCTGTTTGGCTAAGTGGTAGAAAAAAAATGATCTTAGTACACAGCAGTGTGGATGTTGATGCTGTGCAGTTTTGCAGCTGGTCCATGAAACCAGGCTTCACTGTGATGCAGACCTGAAGTATGAGCGAGGTCTGGGCTGTGTTTGCTCCTGGCCTGCTGGGTGTTTTTTTTGGGCAGGTCAAGTCCTCTGGCTTCAGTTTCTCTTACCTGTAAAATGACACCGAGTGACTTTGCTTAATGTTTGGAAATACAGCATTGAAATGTGATGTGAAAGGAAGAGGCGGTTTTAGAGCAAGAAGTAAGAAATCACCCAAAGACTTTATGGTTTTCAGCTTACTTGAAGGTTACAGACTATGTAGACCCCCCAAAACTCATAAACTGGGGTGATTTCCCCCATCTGGAGCAAAGCCCAGTTTTTTACCATGCTTCCCAGGGACACCAGCTTCCCAGGGACACTATGTCTCCCCTTCCCATTTCCTTTGGTTTCTTCATCTTTGCACTTGCATTTTCATCCTTATGCTCCATTTCTCCCAAAATCTCTGTACATTTGTAGTCAAAATTATCTTCTCTCTCCTTACTGGTCTCTGCATCCGTTAAACAACTCAGTAATGATTTGGACCTTGGGCTGTCACAGCAGGACAAAAATGTGTAACCCAGGACTTTGGGTTAAACATGAACCTGTGTACTGTAAATTCAGACTTGGATGTTCATCTCCTGGGACTGACTCAAAGTGACCAAACCTTTCAGCAATGTCTCTCTCATTCTGGCTGCAAAATGTGCTGATCAGGGAAAGCAAAGCATACACAAGGAGAAGCAAAAGTTATTGCAGCTTGGGTTCATCGGCTTTGCGAAGTGTCCTGCAAATTGACTTTATTGCTTCATTTTCTTAACCAAGATGTAATGCATCTCCCTTACAGAAAAATATTATGATAGCACTTACCTTTATCAGCCATTCTTGGAGCTCAGTAAGAAGAGCTATCAAGTTAATGTGATTAGATCTGTTTTCCCCAAACCTGCATTAATTGTTATCAATTACATCCTGCACTTTAATTCTGTATTCAAAGCCTCAGCCATTCCAGCATGTTATTTGGGATCAGAGGAAGAGAGACAGACCCATCCTTTTGCAGGTCACTTTGTTTATCCTTTAAAAAGTTGGCCCAACAGGAGCTATTTTCCAGTCCTGGATTTCCTCCAGGTCCAGGACTCAAGAAATGCTCAATGCACACAGTCTTGCAAGCTGCTTCACCAGCTCCAACCTCTTGGATACAAGTTATTTGGCTTCACCTTTTGAAAAACATCTAGTTTCCATGGCTGCTGTTTAATATCCTCTGTTTCTGTTGAAGTGGGGAGGATTTCATCACCCCTGTATGCTGGGAATACATCTGCATCCCTTCAGGAATCAGAGCACCACCATCTAATGAATGCTTCTGACTTCTCACTCCCGCTACTCTTCTAGCTGAATTTGGTGAAATAACATTATCCTTAGGTTGAGGATTTGGGGTTTCTGTCTACAAGGGCAGGGATACATCCTGGAAAGACACTGGGGTACCCAAAAGTGCTGGATTGGGTTGGGTCAAGAAAGCTGGGCTCTGCTTGCATTTGTGTCCCTTGCTCTCCATCCCGGTTCATCTCACTACATGCCAAGGTGTCTCAGCACTCAGGAAGTGCCTGGTGAGACAGCTCCTGCAGCAGCAAGCTTTGCTGTGCTGTAGCCCCTGGGGCTGAACACGTGCCTGGAGCGTGCCCTCGTACACCTTGTACTGGGTGTGCAGAACTCACTCTCTGCTGTCCCTCTTCCGTCAAATGAAGGGCATTGCCCAAGCTGCGGCCGTTCTGGCTGAGCACTCAGAGTAAGGCTTCATTTGGGTTGCATTTGTGTAACCCTCCAGCCATGCTGGGGGATCCCAGTGGTGTTACCACATATCCTGAGGAAAGTAGGAGTGCTTCCCTGCTGGCAGGTGGGGGTGGGATGTAACCCCCCCCCCCTTTAAACCCCAAGCCCCAGTTCATGTTCAGCACATGATTTGCCTTTCTGGCACAGCAGGATAAGCGGGTGCTTGGGCAGCTGCATGCCCTGAGACCCTTACAAGGAGCTCTAAGCCCTGCTGCGAGCATATTTCCCCAAATACCATGCTGCTTTGCAAGGCATATTTGCTTCCTGTGGAAAATCCCACCTCCCCCTTTCCTCTCCCTGCTCTCATCACCCACAGCATCCAAAGAGCTTGGATTCTGTCCTACTTTGCCAGCTTGCTGTCTCCAGCCTGTGTCTCCCCTGAGGGAAAGCTTCCTCCTTTTGGGGAAGGGCTTGGTGGCTGAGCTGGGACCACTGGCTCTGGGTTCGTTAGCACTCGGCTCTGACCCATTAACACAGATCCTTCCCATGGCTGTCTCATCACCAGCTGCTAACAAAGCACCTGGCTCACGTAATCTGATTTGGTGGTAGTGCTCGTCTTATTAGTGCACACCACACGCTGGTTTTAATATAGTTAATGAACCTCTCTATAGGAAACTTTACTAATTCCCACTTGAAATATCACCTTGAAGGAGGTAGAATTCAGGACCCATTTGGTGTGTAATGCCTGTGAACCTGCAACACCCTGTAAAAATGGGGCTGTGTCCCATCCACGGGCGGGCAGAGTGATGCTCCCATTGCTGGGTTATGGACTGAAAGCAGAGGACAAATTTTCAGAAGATGAGAGTGATGAAAGCAGTGGAATAAAAAGCAGTGGAATACAGGCTCAGCCTGTAGTTTGGGAGTGAGATCAGCCCCTGCTCTTGCACTCCCTTTGCTGATCTCAGGAAATCTGCATCAGATTTATGAGCAGTTGCTTAATACCATGTAAATCATATCAAGTCTTCACAAACCCAGCTTGATTAAGATAAAAACGTGATAAGGAAAACCCACTTCATGCTAATTATTCTGGATTGGATTTGGAACTTGTCATTAATGTGAGATAAGAGTTAATAAATGAAATATGTTTAATGATTCTTTTTCTAGATTTAGCTCTCTTTAGACTGTGTTGTATTTAGTCTGTTAAGCAATTTTAATTAGCAAATTTTCACTTTTCATTTGTGAGAAATGAGGATGTAAAGTTATCCAAGGGGACCAATGTGCAAGATCTATTCCACTTTGCCTTGAAAAAATAACAATGTGTTGCTTGTTTTCAAAGCCAGGCTGTGCGTAAAAACTGTTGTTTGATCTGCCCAACAGATAACAGAAGCTTCGAATTTAAGAGCTTCAGGACTGTGTTGAAGAATAAAACACCTCAAAGGAAATCACACACATCCCAACCTCGACAGATGGAAGGTCCGTCCTCCTGCACTCCAACATGTTAAACATTTGCTATGCTATCTGTGTCTTCTAACACAAGTGCATTATGTACCAGGGATCATCTTTTCAGCTGGAAGATTATTTTCAGATCATGTGCAATATGATGAAACTGAACAAATCAAGAAAAAAGGCAGAGGGGAGGTGGAAATCATTTGGACATTATTTCATTAATATATATATAAAAAAAAAAAAGAAAAAAAAAAAAAAGAAAGGTTAAGTAACCAGAAAGGAAATGTTAAGCAGAGCTGCTAATAAGCAGTCCAAATATTTTGCTTGGGATGGGAGGGAAATGGGGAAAATTCAGTTGCTCACAGTGTTCTCTTTCCAATGACACAGGCTTTTTTCAGCAGTGGGAAGTGAATAAGTTCTATTTTCTGGCTTTCCTGTATACATTCTTTATAAGTAGGAATGTGCCACACCAAAGCTGTGATTTACTTCAAGTCCTCATAATGCACCAGGAAAATCCCATCTCTACCAACACTGAGGAAAATCATGTCAGCCAGTCCACAAGTTGTGCCTTGCTTTCAGAAACATTGTGGAAAAAAAAAAAAAAAAAAAAAAAAAAAGAAGAAATGACAGTTTTCCAGGGCTGGAATAGCTGAAAAACCCAATCCTGAGTTGTCATGCCCTACTTCATTTCATGAGAGCTCATGTACCTGTCTCTGCTCCTACACAGTACTTTGGTCCCAAGTTAATATTATAGTATTTTATTCCTAATACTGTAATAAAAGGGAAATGCATCACTGCTCTGCCCATCACTGGTTTATTTTGCACACTGGTGTTTTTTTGCTCTGCTGGCTTCCCCTGTGGGCTGTCCACTGTGAAGCTGTCAAAACTGGGCAGTTTATAACCTCAGTGCATTTCCTAGGACAGTATGGGTAAGCATCAGCCTGATTCAAAAGGATAAATGGTCTGCAGAGGTACAATGCAAGCAGCAAAGGGGTAGATGCTCTCTCTTGCTTCTGGCTCTCACTTCATCCACCTCCCCAGCTCCATCTGCACCCTGCTGCCATCCCAGCTTTGAGGCTAAAACATGCCCAGCGCATGCTCCGTTGCAGAAGCAAGGCAATACTTGCAGAAAGTTGGATATCTGCGTGAAACTAATGTTGGTGGGATTGAGCTGGGCACAAGAACCTCTGCACCTGCACTACAATACCTCTGCAGGGAGGAGAAAGAGGTTCTTGTAGCTGTTGCAAAAGCAAGTCACTCATCAGGGCTGGCCCAAGTGAAATGAACTGGCTGATTCTGAAGCAGAAGATGCACAAGGGGAGGCAATGGGAGCCCAAATGGGAGCTTGCGTGAAGTAGACTCTTGAGTCCATCATGGAGGGTGACAGCAAAACCTGGCTTTCCTGGGCTGCATCCACCAACATGCTGGGAGCTGAGCTGTTCACCCACATTTCAAACAAGACCCTGGGTGTGGACAGGAAATATCCACGGGAGATGTGTGGGATGCTCTGAGTCACAGCCCAAGTGAGGATGCTTTTAAAAATAAACATCTACCTGGAAGAAAGGCTCTGAAGGGGGAAAGCTCAGGGGAACACCCATGGCAAAGCAACCATCTGTCTGCACCATGTCTTCTTGCAGCAGAGCTTTGAAGACAAACAAAGCCCAGGTAGGCTTCTGAGCTGTCCTCTAGAACTGGGAAAGCTCTGGACTTGTCTGTACTTCAGCAGCAGACGTCGTCCTCATTTCTGGCTAAGCCCTGCATGCAAACTTCAACCAAAATTAGAATTGAGAAATTCCCTCCACTGTGGGGAGTTGATGTGGTTCTCAGAAGGACATGTTGACTTTGGTGAGGTCATGTTTATTTATTCATTTAAAAGCAAAACAAACAAAAAAAATAGCAACAACAAACCACGGCTCGTTTTTGGGCTTGAATTCCTCCTGTGCCCGTGCACCTATGGTGGTGGTGGAGCCACAGAAGCAATTCCTTGGCTTCCCAAAACAAAAGTCACTGAAGCTCTGCACAGGTGCAGGACAGGGAAAATGGGCTGGGATGGTAAGCAAAGAAAAAAAGTGAAAAAACAACAGTGTTACTCAAAGCTACATTGGTTACCTTGGGGAACTAAGAGCAAGAGTTCATCTGGCCCTCAGTGGGACAGGGTTTCTTGGGCTTGTTTGCATTTATTTCCAGTGTGGTAGGAACCCTGTAGCTGTGGATGCATTGGGAAGGGTGTGGGTGTGGTGTTGCTGGTACCAGGCTCCACGGTGGCTTCAGCAGCAATGGGAGCAGAGGAAGGTGGGTTGAGGGCCAAGGTTGCTGCCAGAAGCCCAGGAGCAGGTCCCTGAGCCCACGAGATGAGCTGGGGGTGCCAGGGAACTATGGCAGTGGAGCTCTCTGAGGTGTGAAATCCAAAAAGCTCAAATTAAAACTAATTGGAGCAGTGGCTCTCATTATCCTCACTGTTGGCCACGTCCTGCCTGAAGGCCAGCCCAAGGTGGCTGGGAGAGGTATCCCCTCTGCCCCAACCCCATACATTGCTCTGCCAGCAAATCCCTGGGGATCTGGTGATAACCACAGCATGGATGCTCTGAGGATGGGCTTGCAGGCATTGTCACCTCATGGCTAACTGTAACTTAACCTGGCACAGGTAACAACCCAATTTCCCAGGTATCCCAGGCATCCATTCTCGTGTCCTGTAAAGGGCAACTGTGTCCTCTCCCCAGGCTGGTTTGTGCTGCAGTTCCCCAGTACCAAAATTAATGCTTGGACCACAAACATGTGTCCAGTGTCTGGGGGATGAGCCCATTTTCTTCACTGTGAGCCCCAAACAACCTAGCAGTGCTCTCTTCCCCGCTGCAGAGGATGGAGCCGCCAGCAGGCTCAGGGGAGATGGACCTGGACTCTTTGGGATGATGTCACATCCCAAACTGCTAAATAGCTGCAAAAAATATTTGTTTGCAGTTTCCTCTGCAGCACAAGACATTTGCAGCCTGCTCCTGAGGCTGCAAAGGAGATTGAACAAAAACTTTGACAATTTCTGAAAATATCTTGAGGTGCAAGCACCTTTCTGCCATGCTGGTGGGTTTGGACTGCAAATAGCCCCAAGTGCTCATGGAGGTCAGATCCAGCATCCCTCAGCAGGTAGTCTGTGTCACCTGCAGGGCACCAGCACCAGACGAGATCACACATTGGCAGGAGGAGAGTTGTTTTTCTGGACTGCATCACAGCCCCAGCTCTTGGGAAGTCCTTGTCCCAAAGGTGTTAAATTTAGTTTCTTTTGGAACATGAAATAGTAGCCCTTAAGAGGGGGGATAGAATGTATCAGTACAAAAGTTATTTTTATTTTTCACTGGTGTTACAGAGAGTTTTTTTACGGCATATGTGTGTGTGTAATACCTTTTCCAGTTTCAATAGCCACTGTGTTAAAGCGTCTCCCCGTTATGGTTTGAAATGTGTGCTTTGAAGAACAAAGTGAAGGGAAGAGCAGAGCCTTTTATGGGTCAGGTTTGAGCCAGAGCTCCTAAAGCAGAGATGCCCCACGGGTTCTGGCCACTCTGCTTCTTCCATGCAGCCCCAAACCTGCCCAACAGACATCTCAAAGCGATGGAAATTTGCCTAATTTCAGCCTGTTCTTGATATTGTACATAGTGGCTCTGGGAATGAAACCACCATTTGGCAAACGTGTGCTCCATGCTGTTGGATTTCTTTTGCTTGGTTGCTGAACCAGCTAATTGTTAATGTGCTTTATCAAAGTAACTGCGAGTTTTATAGACTTCAACTGTTGGTCCAGTATATTATCTGTGTTGCCACGACTCTGAATATAGTCTTTTGTGTTTTAAAGATAACCATCATGTCAGGAGAGCCATGTTGAAATGCCATTTTGGAAGGGGGTGGGGAGAAAGATCTGACTTTGGCAAGGGAAGACAAATAAAAAATATATCCAGTCAATTAAAAAAAAAAAACAAAACTGATTTAATGATGGCTGACAGCAAGATAAAATCCAAAAAAAGTAGCATATATTTATTCGCATAATCATCCTACTGCAGGCTGCTCATCTTTATTCATGGCCCTTCAAAGCTATGTTCAGATGATGAGAACTCATGCATTGTACGTGCTCTTGAGACACTGAACATGTATACGTTCCTGCTGCTGTCTGCAGCAAATGCTGCCCACCATCCCTTCTCCCTTTCGGGCTGTTATTAAAGTGAACAAGAGTTTTGCTGTGGGGCCCAACCTGGAAGATTTGCAAGGAAAGCCAGTAGGACGCTCTAAGTGGCACTGGAGGGCTCTGTCAAACTCCCAAGGGGACAGGGTGGTACTTGAGGCAGTAGGGTTGCATAAAGCCACTAGGATGATGTTCATGCCCACCAGCCAAGGGATGTTGTAAGAAACAGGCAAAATTAGAAAGCAAAAGATTTCACAAGGTGTCTCAATTGCTACAAGGGTGCTCATGAACACTCAGGGACACAGTGGATGGAATGGGGCTCAGCAGCATGGCTGGAGAGGGCTTTCAGAAATGATGCACACAGTGCTGTGAGGTTGTTCTGCTTGCTCCCCTAGATTTGGGGAAAAAGTCAGGATTTCTGCAGTACTGGCCTGGCCTCCAGCCTCTCTCCACAAGTGCTGGTGAGAACCCTCAAAAATCAGCCTCTGTGTGCAGATGGTTGTAATTAAACACACGCGGATGTTCTCTGAAACAGATGTTCACGTGCTGCTACCACTACTGAAATATTTTAAAATTAAGGAATTCATGGGACAGTTTTTCTCTCCTAAAAAGCTCTGGGAGACAGTGTGCTCCCCACTCTATTGCTTTTCTTTTTGTTACAAAGACTTCTCTAGAAGGTTATCCCTTGAGCTGAGATTAAAGCCATGCAGTGGCCCCTTTAAATTGCAAAGCTCTGTAATCCTGGTGTTTTTGTCTGCCAGCCTTTGATACAGGTAAATTGCCTTTCTTTTTCACACTTTTCTGCCCTCTCCAAGATGACATCATCAGTGCATCTTCAAAATAAATGGCCTGAGATGCTGCTGTCCCCAGTATGTTTCCATACCCATTTTCTCTGACTGCTCTGAAGCCAGGCCACTGATACTGTTTCAGATGGATCCTACAATTTCTGAGGGCGATTTTGGAGAAGAACACCTTACCTGGCATCAGGAAAGTCATTGAAATATCTGGACATGCACAATGAATTATATTAAGAGAAGTAGCAATGCCAGGAAATCGCAGACCAGTACTTGAAATGGGGTGGTTTTAGAGCAAAATGATGTGTTTGCTGCCATGCCCCTCTTGCTGCCATTAGTGTATGGGGAGGGGGACTTGACCATTCAAGTTATTCAGGCCTCGCAGTGCCAGTAAAGCAGTGCCTAAAAACTTAATCTGTGTGCACCTAAGATGACGTGTTAGGAAGAAAGTTGCCTTTATTGTTGAGGGTGGAGTATTCCCATGGCTGAATTTAGGACCTTTCAAGGAAGTCCCAAAAACATTGCAGGAGAGGGCTGCTGCAGCCTGACCGACTGCAGCCTGACTCCAACACAGGAGGAGGTCCTCATTTATTAATTTCCCATCATTTACTATGCAATTTATTTTCATGGTTTCTTCCTGTGACTGAGATGGCTGGATATAATTTTGACTTTGCTTTCCCTTGTCTGTGTGCTTGTCACTGGGCTGTGAGTGATTTGGGTGGTACTGAAAGGTCTCCATGACTGTCTCAGCAGGACCACACATGGATATATTTGAACAGTGAAATATTGCCTTGTGAAATTCAGTGCATCAGACTGAAAAACCAAGCAGTCTTCTCTGCAAGGAGTGATCAGGTGCCACAGAAACAATGCAATTTTTGACTGGAGACATAAAGTGCAGTCTTGTTGCTCTGATTTCTTTTTTATTTTGGTTTGGCCAGTGAACTGTGTTTCACTTGTTTCAACTTGTTCTGTTGATACTGTTCTGATGCTAAAACAAGCCGATGCATCTTGTTGTCCTGGTGATCTCCACTGCACCATGGGTCTTGTGTTCAGTTACCAGTAAACATGAGTGATTTTTTTTTGGTTGTGTGACTTTTTTACCTGATGTTGAATTTATTTTTTTAATGTTTTTCATTAGAACTTAAAACTGTTATTTCATACACAAAGTTCAATAAAATAGCTAAAACATACCTTGGAGCATGGGGTCAGCGTTCTGCATGTGTAACAAGGGGGTTTGAAGATGAGATGGAGCAGAGGGGAGACATTCAGGTTATGAAGAGTGGGCAAGGATGAGGTTTGAGATACATTCCTTGGATGAACTCACCACTCTTTTTTCATGATGAAATAAACTGAAATTTACTGTAGTTCTCAGGAATAAAATTCAGTGTTGGAGAAACAAAATCTTGGGGTAAAATCTGCATATTTCCAGCATCCTAACTAGCCTTCTGAAGAGTTGTGCTCTCTTTTTAGAATGAAGTCACTCCACGCAAAGACTTGAAATTTTGATTTTAAATGTCACGCAAAGGGATGTCACTGGTGATGTTTTGGCAAGTGGAGGCACTGAACCACTCATCCTAATCGTAGACGGAGATCTCAAGAAATGAGGCTTGAAGCTCATATGAAAACATTGACCTTGGCTTTCTATCATGTCTTTGGGCTGCACCCAAAAGCGAGTTTGGCCATGCAATGTAAGAGCTTTTCTAGGTTACCAGCTGTCTTAAAAATATCGAAGAGTGAGAGGGGAATGGAAAAATAAATTACGATTTTACAAGCTGCATTTAATCTGCAGCAGCTGGAAGCAGTCTCACTTCCACAGTTGGGCAATCTGCAAGCAATTAGAGACTGGTGGGAAGCGGTCTTCCTGGAACAGTGAAGACCTGGAGACTTTTTGGGTTCCTTTTGCTTTTAAATCACCTGCCTCTGGTATTCAGAGATTCAATTTAAAAAGCAAGAGGGTACCTTCCTGCTTTGGGGTAAACAGCTGGATGCCATAAAGCAAGCTGAACCATCACACAGCTGAAACCCTGGCTGAGATTTAGGATGGGTGACATGAGCCAGGAAAGTGTGGGAAAGGCTGGGTCTGGTTCAGGACCCAGATTGCCAGAGGGGTCCCCTACATGAATTATCAGAGACGGTGCCAGCACAAGTTGAATTTCAGATGCAAACTCTGCTGTATTGCATCCCACAACCCAAGGGCCCCTGCAAGGGGGATTTTATTCTATTTCACTGCTGAACTGGGAATGTGAGGGCTCCTGCAGTCTGTCAGGCTCTTATCCCAAGTGCTGGATGTCTTTGCAAATCCTATTTGTGAGACTGAAACCCTGGCAGGCCCTGTACAAGGCTCCAAACTGATGGTCAGGGCCGGAAGCAGAGCAGCAGGATTGGACCAGGGGAACTCAGCAATGAAGGAGAACTCTGAAGTCTTCAGTTTTACAAATCATTGTCTGACCCTGCTGGTCTCCCTGTCTGCATGGAGTGGCACAGGGCTCTCCAGTGGGGCCTGAGCTCTGCCCCCGCCTTGCCTGATAGCTTTGACTTCTGCAGTTGTGCAGGATCCTTGAAAAGCAGTGTTCAGCTTTTTTGGTTTTGTGTGGTTTTGCCTTTCTTCACTCTCTCGATTTGCTGTCAGCACCAGGGCAGCTGGTGAGCTGGGAGGTGGTGGGGGTGGTTTTGGTGGTGGTGAGCCAAGCTGATGAGCAAAATCGCTTTGCACCAACTTCAGGGCAACTGTTTCCGAATTCTCTCCCGGTGGCTGTTCTGTGTGGGACCAAACCAGTTCCCAGTCAGAGCCAGCAGCAGCAGGAGATTTAAAGCCAGAAGGAAACAGCTTCTGTTTGGGGATGCTCAGAGACAGGCCATGGGTTTAGCAGCCCTTGGTACATCTACCCCTGCCAGACCTTGATTTGTTCCTTCCTGTGTCAGCTCCGCCGAGGGCTGTGGTGCTTCTAGCTGCCGGATTCAGTCATTGTGTGGTTAACCAGCATGGTGCTTAAGCAAGCATGAAAAACAGGATGTCTTAAAAGTATGAGATGTGAAAGGTGGCATGAATACCATGAGCCCAAACAGCCCTGGAGAAAGGACAGGGCCCATGTCTGGCACATGCCACCTGGGTTTACATGAAAAGCAGCACAAGGCACTTGCCACAGCACCTCTGATGTGCAGAGGGTGGTGTCCATACCTAAAACATCACAGCACCCAGGGGTGAACCTTGAATTGAGGCACATGCCTAGACATCATGGGTTATGCAGAATTTCCAGTCCACACCACTACTCGGGCTGACGGACTGCATGGAGAAGACCTTGCACCTGAGATGGTCGGTGCTGACAGCCAGCTCATTCCCCAGGTTGGATTTTCTTTACCAGTGTGGCTTTTGCAGGAGTCAGGAGGAACACATAGGCCATGGAATGGGGCATGGTGTGACAGCAGGATGGATGTCCCTGCTTCCTCTGCGGAGGTTATGAAGGGCAGAAGGTAAATGCCACTGCAGCAGTTAACACCCCAAGGCAAGCTTGGTGTTCAGGCCTGGGACCTGAAGGTCTGGCAGCTGAACCCTGGCTGCCTCCAGCAGCTTTGCACACTGAAGCTGTGTGGGAAACAACTTCATGTGCTGCCTTCACATTTGCTGCTTGGAAATTTCTCTAAGTGTCATTTACTTTTTCTGTTATCATTTTTGTAGCCCTTTCCTTCTCTCCCTTTCCCAGCTGGATCATCCAGCTCTCCCAAATGTGACTTTTCCAGGATGCTGGAGTCTTCTCCAGGACACTTCCTCTCTCGCCAAACCATACCTTCCTAAGGACACCTCAGGTTTGATACATCACTTCCTATCTTTTAAACAGATGTTAGTACCCAAAAAGATTTTCCTTTCTATTCTGACTGGTGAAGCATGGTTTCTTCCTGCAAGGCCTCACTGGCCATGCTTCTTCTGTCAGGTTTACCCATGGGATTGCTAGGATTATCATATCCTGCATGGAAATATGTGCTTAAGACCGTCTGGATCTGGCCATTTTTTACTATTCATTTTCTTGATAGACTCTTGAATTTCTTCTACCCATGCTTCAGCTCAGGGCAGCTCCTCAGACATCACCATGCTCCTCCAGCACCAAGGCTTTAGGCAGTGTTTCTGCATTTTTAATGTGATTAAAGTGGAAAAGTAGAATTCACCTCCTGCTCACCGAGGCAGATGCAGGTGTGCATATCTCGTCAGCAAAAATGGGATCGTGGACAGGATGAAGATGCCAACATATGCAATGGCACAGTTTGATTTGGGAGGAGGCAGCCCCCAAAGATTTCAGTGGTGGTGGTCTCAGATTGACCCCTTGACCTGCATGCCTCAGGGCAGCCTGTCCAGGCAGGCTTTGAAAGGACCTGTCTGGAAGCCCCTCCTGTCTGGAGCTCACACCTTGCTCAACTGTGGAAGCCAGTGACAGTGGATGAACTCTGCTTGTCCCAAAGGATACTGTTGATCCTCTTAAACAAGGACCTGGCAGTGGAACACTGCAGACTGCAGATGCTCCTAGGACCTTTCTGCAAAACTGAAGCTTTTCCTTTATTTAAATACCCCCGGAAAAAAAAAAATAATAATAATAAATCAAGGGAAATGACAGGATCTGGGCTATGGACCTGAACATAAGCAGCTCTTTCACCAGCTATGTGGCACCCATGGGTGCTTGGTGGCAGCCGGGTGGGTGCAGCTCATTCAGAAAAGTGTGTGCTGAGAGCAGAGGGTGGGGGAGCAGGGGAAGCCGGGGCTAAAAATAGCTCTTTTCTAAAGAAGCAGCTGAAAACCTCTTTGAAGAAATGAGGGGAGAGGAGGAAGGTTTCCATAGAGACGGGGAAGTCTGTCTCAACACAAAAGAGGGGGTGGAAGAGAAAGAAATAGTAAATACAGCAGCAAGGTGACAGAAGAGCATGCTGCAGGGCAGCAGTGCTCAAGGCAAGGGCAGCTGAGGGTCAGACAAGGCTCTGCCACTGCCCCCTTGGATATGGCACCTCCTCCCCAATGTTCCTGTGGCTGTCACCTCCCCAAGCCACCTGGAGCTGCTGGACCAACCGGGGATGTGCCTGCAGGGCCAGATCAATGTCACTGTGAGGGGACATCCCCAGCATCTCCCAGGAGCAGGGTGACAGTGATAAAAAGATGAATTTCTACCTAAGCTCCCTGTTTCTCCTAGGACTTTTCCACCCTGTCATGGCTCTTTCCCGGACGGACCCCACAGGGACGGCGCCACACTGGTGGCAGGGACACGCAGGTTGGGGCTGGAAGCTGATGGCAGCTGGCTGCTTAAATGATTTTGGGAACCAAGGCAGAGGGGGCTGGCACAGTGTGGGATTTGGCATGGCTTGCTCTCTGGCATGCTCCCCAGTTTGGCACAGCTCATGACCCAGTGTGGTCCCCAGGCTGGCACGGCCCACACTTGGCATGGCTCACCGTTTGGCATGTCTGACCACCCCGTAGGGCCGGCAGCTTGGCACAGCCCCTGGTTTGGCAAGGCCCACGGTCTGGCACGGCCTTTAAGTTGGACCAGCCCGCGATTTGGCACGGCCCGGCTTTGTGCCGTGCCATGCAGTGCCCTCTCGTGGCTGGAGCATCCTGCCCACTGCCCACTCTGCCACCCTGCCCACAGCCTTAAGCCCTGCGGAAGGCACTCCCCTGCCTGAGCATCCCCAGTCCGCATCTCTTCCCTGCAGCATCCTCCTCCTGTGGGAGGACGAGAGGATGCAAATGATCCTTGCAGAGCACTTTTCCTGCTGCCTGTTTTGCAATCCCACTGCTTCCTGGGGAGGATCGCTTGTGGCCATGCCAGTGGCACCTCTCAGCACCCACAGCAGAGCATGGATTGACATACAGACAAGAAGACACACACTTTATGCAGCACTTGTATGTGGGTGCACAGCTACAGCAGCTCCTCACTGGGCAGAGAACAGAAGAACGGGGATAGGAGACACCACAGTGGGAACCAGCAGGGCAGGATTTGTGCAAGTGGGGTGAGTACAGGCCACCCATGGGATGAACTTTTGGGGTGACAGTAGTGGATCGCTCCTCTCCACAGGGCTTGGATCTGACCTTCAGCACCTCTTGGTCCCCACCAGCACCAGCAGATGCTTAGAGGGAGACACATTAAGTCTAAAAAGAGCATCTTCTCCTATCTGTCTTCTGATGGGAGATACGCACACCATGTTCTCCATCATC